GTGTGTGTGTGTGTGTGTGTGTGTGTGTGTGTGTGTGTGTGTGTGTGTGTGTGTGTGTCCCAACGAACCAGCACCCTTCACCCACTCTCCTGCCGACCTAATAATATCACTATGTATATCTCCTGCTATTTTAGGCCAGGCAGTTTGGGAAAGGCTTCTCTCTCTTTCAAATAAGTGTCGAGCTCTCTCGGCCTCTGTCAGCAGGCAGCTGGCCAGGAATAAACTTTGCTTGGATATGAAGCGGCCGTCACTCTCTTTCTTCAGGTCTCAGATCAGAGGGGGTTTTCTGGGATGAAATGGACCAGGCTATGAGGTCATCGAAAGATTTGTCCTCCGCTGCGCATGCTACCCAGTGACCCGCCAGGACAAGACGTGCACATTCGGGATAGGACCGCAAGGAATTTGTTCATGCTGGAGAAAGAAAAGTAAGAAGAGATTTTGTTATATTATTTTATGTGACAAAACCGGTTCGCTCTTGATTTTCATTTGGTTCAGAAAATAATGGTGGCAAGATATTGCTGTATTAAAAAATATGTTCCATGGCTTAAATAGTTGGGTCTCTGGAGAGCCTGCCAGAAACTATTCAAACTGAACAACAATGTAAGTAGTGTTTTTAGGACCCTTTTTCATACCTTGTGTTTTCTCCTCCCATTAATTGTTCCTCAGTTTAGCATTAGCCCATAGCATTGTCAGCATTATTTGTGGTAATGTGATTGAAGAAGGCTGCATGAGCCAAAATGACAAATTGACAAAGGGTAATTCGGTGGCTTTGCGATGAAGCGCTGACACCACAGGAGAAAATACAAATTATACTTTCACTTCATCTTCATGGGGGGGTCATTTTGCTCTTCTTACTGTGGGCTGTTTGAGAACAAGTGGCGTGGCTTGTTCTGTATTCAGTTGTCATAGCAACGAACACCATAATCAGCATTGGCCCCGCTGTCGATGGAGCACTGTCAACTTGCATGAGACATGACCACCCCCTCCAACAGGATAATTTCAATCAGATTTGGTAAAATTGGTTGAGAGGTGTGCTATCATTTTTTATTCTTAGGGTAGTTTGACAAAAGCACGTTGGAAACATGTTCAGTCACCAGGGAGCTGTTTTAAATAGTAAAAAATAAAGATGCTTACCTAACGCTTGACAACAGGAAGTTGTGTGTGACTTTCGAGCAGTGTGGCCCCAATCAGCTTTGACAAGTACCAGTAATTTAGTTAAGTTACTGATTACTTGATTTTAAAAAGAACTCAGATTACAAGTTTTAGTTCTATAACAATTTGTTAATAGCACAGAATGTGCAAAGTACCTTAATACTTTCTTTAGGTGACACAAAAATCTGTGAGAGTAAGTTTTGCGTGAACTGCTTGTCATCATCGTTGTTACACAAACGCGTACTGGCATCACTGCTTTCGAGTTATGGAAACTGAAAAGCATTCAACTTTATTTATATTTTTCTAGGTTAGCTAGCACTTTCCTGTGGCAATTTGTAGTTCATTGTGTTTGCCCAATACTTGCTCCTGTATTAGCAAATAGACTCTGGAGGGATATTTTGCAATTGCAAATGAGCTAAATGCTTGAGAAGAGAAGTTGCTGTCAACAGTCTGTTTATTTGGAATTTTGCCCTTCAGGTTAGGTGAAATGTTAAAGACTCCTTCACAAATAACTCTGCAGACCTACAGGGTCAACGACAAAGACCTCACAGAGATCGAACTTCATTCTGTGGACTCCATTAATGATCTTCACCGGACATATCCTGAACATAACCACAAAGGTACACACAAACACACACCCAAACACACCTGTGTACACACTGACACATGTTGGTATGGGCTAAGAAGTGAGTTGATTACAGGACCGAGGCCCCCCCGCCCGGCTTTCCCTCCTTCCGTGAACGGAACGCTGCACACACACCACATGAGATGTGTCAGCGGAGCAAGCAAATGGCAGAGTCGTGTACGGGACACGTTGATTCCAAACACATCGCAAGCATACGCTACGGCCTGCGCTCTCATCTCGCTGCTCCTGCTCGCACTTGTCCTCATTTTCTACTTCCTGGGTGAGAAATCGTCTTTTGATTTTGTGAATGACAACATCTTTTCATATTTTGTTTTTGACATCACTGATTTGTCTGCCCACCCCGTCAGTACAACAAGGTAGCGCACTGAAGAGGCTGACCGAGGCCTTGAGGGAAAAAGAAGCTGCAGCCACCCAACTGTCGGCGCTGATCCAACAACTACAAGCGCTCACACTCAACATGACGGCCACAAGGGGGCGGACATGAGTTTGGATGTGCAGATATTGCATCCCAAAAATTTTGGCTGAGGGAAAGAATGACACTTTCTGAATGTTTGCCATCCAAACACATTCAAATATTTTATTGAAGATTTGTTTAATCGAGAGACTCTTTTGCAATAAAAATAAACATAAAATATATATTTTTAAAAATCAGTCAGGTCCACTTTGCTCCCTTAACAGGTATAATATTTTGTTAACAGTACATACAATAATAGCATCAAGTTATGGTAAAAATATATATATTGAAAATCATACAGGGGGCCAATACACTGATATATATTTTCATTAGTCATGATATTCATCCAAAAAAAAAAAAATCCTTCCCAGTGGTCATCCTTTTGTTTTGATAGCTTCAGACATTAGGAGCACACGGGATAGTGTTACTATCCGGGCGTCTCAACGTGATACAGTACATGGACATTTGTTAACAAGTCACGTGGAATACTCGGAAAAGGAGTCAGACAAGCATTACCACCGTGCTGGCGGCTCAGGCAGCTAAAGTCAAATTGGGAATGACGAGACCCTCACGAGCAGCTGCCGTACTTCTGCACTTGGTCCCGAATGACGTCCCGTACCAAAGTGGCATTTTCCTTCAGCTCGTCCAGCTCCGTACGCTGCTGCTGCATCCGCTGCTCGTTGTTCTTGAACTTCTTCTCCAGCTCTGCAAAGCCAACACAAGCAGTGGACTGTGAACGCTGGAAATGGTGCTTAACTACAGTGAATTTGAAGTAAAACCGCTGTGTGAAAAGCTGCGTGCTTGTTAATCTGTCTTCTCATATTACATACTGTTGCTGTTGGACAGAAAACTGTCCAAATTTTGTTGATCACATTTGTTTTGTGTTGGACTCACTCTTGAGCTGCTCCATGCCCATGTTAGCTTTGTTGAGGAGCTCTTCTGCCTCCTTCTTGAGCTCCTTGGCCTTCTGGTTGATGGCGTTCAAGCCCTGAGAGCCGCTCCCGAGAGAGTCAACCTTCTCTCGCAGCTCACGGTAGCGCCTCTCGGTGTCGTTGAGGCTCTGAAAGCAAATACTGGTTGGACTTTGGAAAGTATCACTTGATCATTATCAACAGGTAACTGTGATAATTTGGTATTTCTGACATTTAATTGACACGTAATTATCATTTCTATATTTTTGGGGAATGTGGAAATACGTATCAAAGCGCTTACAAGACGCAACCTGGTAATATTCAGAGATCAGAAAAGGTTCTGCGAAAACTTGTATTCAGACCGTTTTCATAAGCCTATGATGGAGGGTTTATTTTTGTCATTGAAAACACCATGGTGAACATTTTCTTGAATCCGAAACCTACAAATGGATTCCCCATCGCCATTCCTACCTGCCCAAGTGACACCGCTTGGAGTGTGGCGTTGTCGGCCAAAGCTTTGGCGCCCTTCGCCATCTCCCTGTTCAGCTCGGTTTTGTTTCTCAGTGTTTCAATGTTTGTGGAGAGGTTGTTCACACGCATCATGACCTCCATTTGCTTGTTCTCCAGCTGTGTTAACCTCTCATCCAGCTGCAGAGAAACGACACACAAGTAGTATGAACCTGAAAAAAAAAAAAGATATCTCTACGATACAACGCGCTATACCTCAGAAGTGACGCTCCTTGTGCCGTTCAGGTTGTCCAAAGTCTCTTTCAGGGCACTTCTTGCTTTTTCGATTGCCTTCTCAGACAGGTCCAAGGCCGTCTTTGTAGCATTGGCTGCATCTTTCACAACCTCAGCTCGACTCCTGCAAAATGTAAAACATTTTTTGCTGCATTAGTATATGTGTGTGTAGTTCTTGCAGTAACTGGGAAAAAAAACAATATGCAGAGCACAGGGATGTATGAGTATGACCCGCAAGACACAGGGGGTGTAAGGTGCCAATGCGGTATTGCTATCTTTCACGTGAACTTTATCAATCCACAGCCCCTGCACGCCCCGATTGTTTTGAAGGCAATTGTGGCTCAAGTCGCTGCGCATCTCCTTATCTGAATGCGGGAAGCTGTAACAGCGAGTGCAAACTAAGGAAACGCCAGTGTCTCACTTCAGCAAGTTGGAATACTGTACTCAAATAAATACAGTGCTGACTTCACTGTTATGCTTCTGATACAATCATTTTTTTCTAGTATGGAATGTCTGAAAAATGGCTGCCAATCTCTGAGCTGAGGAGCAGTGTCCTTACTTGGCCTCTTTTGCTTTTTCCAGAAGTTGCTTGGCTTGACTGATGTGCTGGGATGTATCATTGATGATGTTGTTGATGTTGGTGAGGTTGGAAAGGCTGTCCTTTATCTGCATGATCATTGTGTCCACTGTGGTTTTGTTGACCGGCAGCTTAATGGACAAGACCTGCAGGGCCACCTTCTCGATGCTCTCCGGATCTGC